AGGCTATATTACATATTGTAATATTATATAATGTTGTGCGCTATCTGTCACGCCCACTGAAGACTCGTCAGTAGATCACACGTGCGCTGAAGTTAACTAACCCTGGAACATAACCTGCTCCGGAGCAGGTTATCTTCAGAGAACAAGTTAATATGGTTACTTACATACCCTGAAAGTAACCTCCGATTTTGGAACCGAAAGCCGCTTGCTTATCCTCAAACATACCCGGGTACGTCACATAACCTGCTTTTTGGAATACCCCGTTTTATCTTGTTTCTGGTTTCCTTAGTTTATTTCCTGTGTCCTTTGTTTCCTTGGTTCCTAAATATGTTATCATTTATTTCCATAGTTGCTGATTAGTTTGTTACCTGTGTCTAGTTTGGTTCTTAATTAAAAAAAAAAATGGAAAGAAATTAAAAAGAAAAATAAAAACCCTCTAACACTAGCGTTCCCTATTCTTTTTCTATATATAGTTTTTTCTTTTAATTTATTATAAAAATTAAAAAAAACTTGCTACATGTACAGCATTAGGCTAACCGAGAGTCGTCAAAGCACTTACATATTATTGCCCTTTTGATGGTTTTGATTGCTTCTATTGCCCTCATTTGTAAGTCACTTTGGATAAAAGCATCTGGGGTGTATTCCAGAAAGCACGGTACCGTCAGCTAAACACTGAACTTTCGGTTGATTAACCCCAAACCTTGCTTACCGGAGGTATGTGGTTCCAAAAACGCCTCCGGGAGTAAGTTCATTCAACTCAGAGTATGTTCCTGGTTAAGACTCAAGACATTCTCAACAGAGCGACGAATCGACGAGTCACTATGGAAACGCTAAGAAAAAGCGCGCCATGCTGTTTCTTTCTTCTTCTTTTTTTTCAGTGGTCGTTTACATGCTTAGTGCATATCGCCACCTAATTGATGGTTGTGCAATCATTTTTTTTTTTCTGTTTAATCTTTAATACTTGAGAATATGAATTATATTGTTTGTTTGATGATAATTATATATTAAGTCATATCAGATATGTATTTTTTATTATAGAAATACATGATAGAAAATGCCGATCCATGTGTGAGATGATAATATAAAATGTAATAAATATATATGAAGAGTTCATTTGCAAAAACAGATATCTCCGTTTTTAACAATTCTCAGAAATCATGTTTTTTCATTGTGCAAAAAAAAAATCCAGCTAACTAACACAATAAAACACAATAAAAACATGATATAATAAAAAACATGATTTTTGACCATTTAAAAAAAAACGGAGTTATCTGTTTTTGCAAATAAACTCTTCATATGCACATATATATATATATATATATATACATATATATAATGCATCCCTAATAAATATGTAAAAGTAGTAGGCTATAACCTTATCAGCAAACCTGCTTAAAATGATGGTCTGATCTGATTTGAACCTTGTTTGAAATACTCACATCTTTTTGTATTTCAGACTTCACTAATTTATGATATAAAACTGAGGGAATTAGATGGTGCATTAAATGTGCATCAGCCTGTGCTTCCTGCTCGATCCATCAACCCCTACAAGATCCATCTCACAGGTGACATGTAATTCATTTCGAAAGCAACACCACACTTTTGACGATAAACTATACCAATATTGCAAGTTTCTACATACCTGTTTTGGCTTCTTTTTATATAATGCTTCTCTGAGAATGTAAGGAACATAATCTTTCTTTCCACACCCTTACAGGACCTGCGGAC